ATGCCCGCTGGACATTGCTCGATCGTGTGGACGGGGTTTAAGAATGATTCACTAACGGTTCATACCTTAGTTGTGGTGGTCATACGATGTCAGGGCTGTAACGAGCAGGATGGTTGCCACCGCTCGTTTGCTTGTTCGCGTCCCCCACTTGAGGGGGTAGATGGAGGTGAGAAGGTCGCTGCTGCCTCATGACACACCAGACACTATCCAGCTAGCACCACAGCTGCACTTCCCCACTGCTCGTTCAAATTCTGGTTGTGTTCTCTTCTGATGTGTCCTGGGCTCGTGGGCTGATTCCCCAGACCTTCACAAATCCACTGTCACTCTCCGGACACCTACCCTGGGTACTACCGCAGCTGCCACGTCATCGCCACTTCCTCCACACCGTCTGTGCCCCGGTGTTTCTCTTGGGTAGCAAGACATCACCCGCCGGCGCCAAGTGAGGAAGCTGACATGACCTTCCCCCTGAGAGCGGATCACTGCTTTCCAGAACCTTCCCCAGGGACGCCGCCGTAGGAAATATCTGTTCATTGTTTGATTCCAATAATTGTTTGACTCCCTTAATTGTTTGACTCCATTAATTGTTTGATTCCATTAATTATTTGACGCCCTTAATTGTTTGATTCCATTAATTGTTTGACTCCCGTATTTGTTATTTGATATTTGTGTGAGTGGTGTCAGAGTTTTGTGTTATTTTCATAGTAAAGAGATGTCAATCTCGAACGGTTGTTTGTTATCCTTCGTAAAACCATGGTTCTTGACTTTCCTCTTATAAGATCCTGATTAGGCTGGCAAGGGATTTCTATCCCTAAGTCCCAGGCCTTTACATACGAGCTCTGGCATCAGTGCTTAAAATGCCGACAGGTGGCGGTGGTGTGCCTCCTCTTGGTCAATCACTGCGACTGATACATAATTGTGTAGGAGACTTAAGCCAATCATGCCATAACAAAATAAGACCCAGCAGGAAGAACTTGTGACCACCTCGACATCACTCCTCATCTGAACATTGAAACTTTATCAGCACAGTAAACACCGAAAAAAAGAATAAGGTAAGTCATTTATAGTTTTAGGATTTTTATAAGTTAGGTAATGTTAGGTAGTGTTCTTTATAGTATTTTACCGCACATTTTCCTTCTTCAAAGCCCTGCCCACTTTGAGCAGCCAATATTGTTGGTAATTGGAAGTAACAAAACATTATCATGTACTGTACACTGCTAAAACATTGGTCAAATATCTCTAATGTTGTATTGTACTTCTAATGTTGTATTGTACTACTATATATATGGTACATTTTACACACTGCTAGAAGGGTTAAAAAAATTTGTTTCTTAGCATTTTCTAATGTCGTTATTGTAAGCAAAATTCCTCAGGAAATTTCATGGTCACCAAACCTAACTTACTGTATGATACCATAAATGCCTTAGATGAGCAGGAACCTAGGTTGTTAGATAAAGTTTCCTACCCCTGATTAGATATAACCTAAAGGTTACTCTCATATCTGTGGTTAAAACCTTGGCAACCTTTCCTAACCTAACCTTGGTTTTCAATCATCTTAGTTTACAATGACTGTCATGACACTCTTGATACACTTTGTAATTTTAATCATGTATTTATAGGTAACAGCACTCTCTGATAACTCATATACTCAGATAAGCAATTTGTTTACTATTAGTATGCTTTACCAAGTAATATATTAAAATCAGTTTTTATTTTTAGGAGGACCAAGCTGTGTACCACCCCTGACTGCAACAGAAGAACCAATGGCTGGTTTTATTAGTGATGTTGCCATTCAGGGATGTTTGTTTCAGGAGAAGAAGAGGAATTTATTTTCCATTTGTAGCCTCGGAGGTGGAAGGTTAGATTGGCCAGTTGCGCACGTGATGAAATCGATGCATTGGTGCAAATGCATCGGGAAGAATTACCATAAAAATTTACTGTTAATTTAGGTTATATTAGGTTAGATTCTGTGCAGGTAGCAGCAGTAAATGCCTTACAAGAACTTGATGCATCAGTAAAGGCATAGTTTGTTTTATCTCCTTGTCTATTCAAGGTTTTTTATATTTATTTTGCCATACCTTGCAATTGAAATTTTAGTCATGTAGAGTACAGTTCCAGCAGTTCCAACGAGGGACTCCTTAGTTACTCCTCCTACACACACTCCAACTCCTCGTACTTCTGAGAATGAGGTAGAAAGCGAAGTGTCCCTGCCCTCTGTCACTTCATATTGTGACCCTTGAGTTGCCTGACATCTTATTCTTGGAGGAGGATGAATAGTGGTGAAGAAAGACATTGTACAATAAAGTACAGTAATATTAAGTTTGTACAGTTAACATTAAGTATAATATGCTAAGTGAAAAAAACCATGTACAGTACCTGTATTGTTTCATAAATAGAAAATGATTACAACCCAGTAAAATTGAAAGTTCCAAACAATTAACACACTGTTCTGTAAAAGTGCCTCAAACTAAATTGTACCTGAACATCATAAGTGTGCTGTCTGCTTCCACTATTGAGTCTACCATCTAGACTCGCAGTGGTTCCCAACCTTTTTTGGCTGCGGCCCTAAATTTCCCAACAATACCGTTATCGCCGCTGGCTTATTATGCTGGTATCAGTTGTCGACGATCGCTGCTTTGCCCAAACAAAGATTGGGGGGTGGGCGGTGTTTACAGACAAGAGGTCCTGATTCCGCTAAATGTAAGGTTTAAAGGGTGGCGTGGCTGCCTGGACTCCAGGAGATCGCTCTCTCGAGTGATGCTGTAAGGAGCAGCCCTCTGCTCGCACTGGTAAACACCGACTCAATCCTGTCCAAGAATTTGTACTGAGACAATTTACGCAGTACTGTTGTCTTTTGGAACACCATACTGATCTGCATTGACCCACACTTGTAAGTACAGCATAAGTGATGACATACCCCTCAGTACTGAAATATTGTTAACTAATTACGTCTACTCGTTTCTGCCTAACCTGGAGTAATAAGACAATGCAGAATGAAGCGAAGCTAAGATTAATAGAGTTATGAACTTTGTGTTATGTCTGTACCGTATGTTTAATAAATTGTAATTAAGATAAAATTATGAGATTAACTAATTATGTATCAGATGAATCACTATGTAATATTATGAACATCTTCTCTGCAGGTTTTGACCACATCAATAAATATTGAATGCGTCAAAAGGCGAGTTTCAATCATTCCCTTCGACTTGCCCGTCACCTGAACGTCCGCAACCGTGGCGTTTATAAATATGGTGTTGTGACCCTCGGGCATATAATATATTATATTGCTTGAATGTTAAGCAAAAATTTTGTTTGACTTTATGATAATTACTATATTTTTAAAATTGTCTGAGGGCCCCTCGCTACCCTACTGAGGACACCCCGCAACCCCAATTTGGGTCGCGACCTGAGGCTGGGAACTGCTGATCTAGAGCATCTAATATAGTAATTAAAAAACCTTTATCACTTTTATATATTTTGTTCTGTTTAACAAATAAATGATGGCTAGCATTTTATGTAGAGTATACTGTATATTGTCCTTAATAGAGGCCTAACAAGCTAATACAGTAGGTACTGTACAAGGGATTGTAGTGACTGATTCTCCCTACAATGCCCTGCCTACTCCCGCCATCCTCACTCGCTGATTGGCCAGCTGCCGTCCTCACCATCAGCCAATCAGCGGCACCGCTCATACAACAGCATGCGTTCTTAAGTAGGCGGGAATAGATAAATACCCCCCTGCCTCGCCGTCAGTCAACTCCGCTTTCTCCTCCCGACAACACCAACTCTCCTGAAGCTCCTCAACCACACAACAACTCTCCATCATCCTACAGCATTGCATATACAATATATGCTGAATTAAGGCAATTTTGAGTTTCCTTTCTCACCCCTATCCTGAGTGCGAGATTTCCCTTTAGTTACGTGTGTATGTGGACCTAAAATAGAGAATATAGACTAAACTGCACCACACACACACGCTACACTTGGTGATCCCGGAGTGACGCACTCACATGAGGATCTTTCTTCCAGTCTTCAATCATAACATCAAGGACTGGCTCATCCATGTGGAAGTAGCTCTCACCAGTTCTACAGCTTCAGACGAATAGAAGTACATCACATGGTCTGTTTCTTGCCCACAGAAGTCGTCACGCAAGTCTCAGAAGTCATCACTAAGCCTCCAGTTAACAACAAATTCTCAGCTCTACTAGATGCTCTCAAGAGGCGATATCAGCGGCCTGGCGCCAGTCTCCTTCAAGACCTATCAAGTCTCTCTCTCGACAACTCAATGCCTGCACATCTCTGGGATGAGGTGCAGACTGAACTCCCAGTACATGGACAGGTTTCCACACACTGTCCTGCTACAGCTTCATGCTCAGAAGCTCCCTGCAGAAGTTTGCCTCGCCCTGTCAGCACTGGATTATTCAAAAACCTCGGTGACCTATGCAGCCGCAGCAGACAGAGTCTTCCATGAATACACTGCTGTGCGCCATGTTGCCGTGGACAACTCGGTGGCCACACCATCACCTAGCTCCAGTCTCGTCAACCAGATCAATGCTCCTCAGACAAGCAGCATCTCACCAGACAAACAAGACATGAGGGACCTATTACAATCTCAACACCACAGGATTGACACCCTCGAGCAGCTCTACTACAAGCCTGCTGCTGCTGCTCCTGTTCCTGTCCCACGCACTGTGTCCTACAGACCCCGACGTCTTCGTCCTGCTTCAGACGCCGCCGCCAGCTCTCAGCACTGTGCACCTACCCTCTGCTGGTATCATCAATGTTTCGGTGCCAACGCTAGACACTGTGAGGCTCCCTGCAACTACTCCGGAAACGACGTTGACAGGGATTTGTAGACGCCACAACCTCTATCACTTCAGGTGTCTCACTGATGTGGGACTTCATTGGTCAGTGGTGTCTATGCAGCAAGCCTCCAGAAGAGGTTTTAACACTAAGCGTCTGCCACCATCTAAGTGTTAAAAGGGCTAAGAAATACAAGCAAACATAATTTTAAATTTATTACTGTAGTTACATACAAAAAAGCTTATGTGTTTAATAATTCACTTCCCCCAAGCCCTTCAATGGTTTGAGAGTTAAAAGCACCAATTAAAATTATAAAAGAATGCTTTTACACTATGCATACTATATCCTTTGCTTAGACGTCTCAGAAAAGACGCTCCATGAAGTGTAGCAGTTCAAAGCCAACTTCAACCATGATAAGAATAATGATGATCCACTCAAGACGTGATGAATGTTCTTCATTTAAGTGACTTTTAAGCAGCTCCATCAGCTCCACACAATGGCTTAATTTCACATTCATTACCTGCAATGTAATGTACAAATACTTAGGATATTATGTTCAATAGCATAACACAAACCTGAGATAATCAAGTACATACTCATGGTGACATATGATGCAGAAGGAATTATATATATTATACAGGTTGTACCTCTCTAGTCCGGCAACCTCGGGACCTGACCGGTGCCGGACCATGGAAATTTCCGGACCATGGAAATTCACCCTTTTCCTGGATAGATAGTGACTTGTGCTTATGCTTGGAAGCACTAGCACCACTTTCTCTGCTTCATGGTCTCTTTGAAGACATATTGAAGGGTTAAATGTCGAACAGTAGCTTCTCAAATTTCGCGAGTTTTTAATTCAACGTTTTTTATTTGAACACACAAAAAAACAAAACAATTTAAAATTTTGACGGTGGAAACTCGAATTTCGACGATTTTGAACGGCCCACCAACGTTCAGATGACGTGCACAATCATGTAAACAGCGTCACTTCTCTTATGTACAAAAGATTCATTATTGTTTATTACTGAATGTCTTTTTGATTGAATTAATGTTTATGTGTGCAAAATGGGCAATACAATTCATTAATAATACGCAGAATACTAAAACACACAAGGAAATGACACAGCATTGTTTTCGTTGATTACAAAACCAGTGACTGACTGGTTCTTCATATAAAACTGAAGAAAATAAGACCCTGGTTGTAGCTGTAGTAAAATTAATATGGTTGTTTTAAGTAATGTTATTTAATGTTAATAAATGGAACAATAGAAGTAGCTAACGATAATGGTAAAGAAAAAAGAGAGATCGCGTATGTAAGTGCGCACATGTGAAAACATATCGTCATTACTCTATATAAGAATATGAAAGCAACACTAATTTACCGTTCATATATATTTTAATTAATGTTTCTGAATTTTTTTATTGAATTAATGTTTGTGTGTGCAAAATGAACAATACAATTCATTAATAATACGTGGAATATTAACACGAGGAGACGAGACGGCTGCCGGCATTGTTTTTGTTATTGCTTACAAAACCAGTGACCGTTTGGTTCTACATATAAAACTGAAGAAATAAAGACCCTGATTGTAGCTGTAGTAAAATTAATGTAAAAAAATTTATATGCTTGTTTGAAGTTATGTTATTTAATGTTAATAAATGGAACAATATAAGTAGCTAACCATTAATGGTAAAGAAAAAAGTGAGACTGCGCGTATGTAAGTGCGCACATGTGAAAACATATCGTCATTACTCTACATAAGAATATGAAAGCAACACTTATTTACTGCTCATATATATTGAAGGGTTAAATGTTGTACTCTGTATAGACAAGCAGAGAGAGAGAGAGCAGCTGAACTACCGGATGTAAACAAACCTTAATTTCCCGCGGCTTTGTTGTTGTTCTTTTTTTATGGGGATTAGCCCACCCGGGCATAGGTCGCTGACCCACACTGGGGCCTAAGGGGCAAAAATTTAATACTCCTGTAATAATAATAATAATAATGCAGATAAGTAAGAAAAAAAAAAAAAAAAAAGCTGCCTATCTACCTATTGGACAAACTAAAATCATTCCGAACCATGGGAGTTTCCGGACCACAGAATGCCGGACTAGAGAGGCACAACCTGTACAGGCATCTCCTGCGTTACAGAACCCCAGGTTGCGGAATTTCGCTCTTACGGAATTTGTAAATTATGACCAATAATTTCGCGATAGGGCCCATAAATCCGCCCTTACGGAAATTGGGGTAAATTTTAACAATTATAAAAAAATAAATCACTATATAAAATTAAAATTTTTTATTCAAAATTATAATTTGTTTGGTGTGGATTTCTTGGTGTTTGCTACCGCCAAGCGTGGCGTCGCCACGAGAAGTCACTCCATTGTTTACATCCAGTGTGCGAGCATGTTTCTCACCCCAGCAGTTGGATTTAACTTTTACAAACATACAGTAAGTACAGTACAGTGCATTACCCTTATTCAAGATGACTGGAAAGAGGCCATCAAGTGGAAGTGACCACAGTAGTGCAAAAAGAAGCCACAAAGGCATTACATTGGATATTAATCTTGATGTTTTAAAAAGGTATATCATAAATTATTTAATGTACTGTATTGTATGTGTTTATAAATGTTTATTTTCATTCATAAAAGTGCTTGAATTACTTTTTTGGGGCTGAAAAAATTCCTTAGGAACACATCTCCAGTTTTATAATGGAAGTCAATGGAAAAATAGGTTTCGCATTACGGAATTTCGCAATACGGTCAATTTTCCAGGGACGGAACCCTTCCGTAATGCAGGGGAAGCCTGTACTCTCGATTTAACGGAATCCGATATAACAAACTCGATTTAGGGAAAGGCATTTTTTCCGTTATTTTTAGCTCAATTTAGTGAACTAGTTCGCTAAATCAAGATTAATTCCATTAATTTGCTCACACCTACGGAGACACCCACTTCAGCCTACGGCAAATGTACAAAATGTATAAAAACGATAAGTAATGATATGACATAGCACCATATAAAATGCACCCCCCATTTTAGCAGGGAGTATTTAGGAAGCTGTTACAAGTAACTTACTTGATAAAACCACACAGGAAATGTGGAAACACTGAAGCACCTTAGCTTTTGTCTTTCTTCAAGACATCTTCAGAGGCAACCAAATGTACAATGACTGAGAGATGCATACAGTATATACATACACTGATCACCGGCTCGTCAGAGCGAAGCTCTCACTTCACATCGCCCTAAGACGACAAAGACAAACAACTGAAGGAAAAACATCCCCCTGCAAGTGAAGAGGAAGGCATAAGATTCCAGGGTGCCTATATCCCTCCAAATGCTGTCATGTTTGAGAAAATAACAGGAGGGATGGTGTGGAAATAAGGCACTGAAAACACAGGGAGGGGCAGGCCCTTCAGGCCTGGATGCAGACGGTTGGAAAGTCATCCTCAGTACAAACAAGTTTGGCGCCGTAGCAATTGATCTCTGCAATGCCATTGCCGCCCTTGCAATAAAGCTAGCAACCTCGTGCTGCCATCACCTCCATGCTCTGAAGGCCTGCTGCCTCATTCCCCTGGATAAAATTCCAGGATTTAGGCCTATAGGAGTGGGGGAAGTGCTGAGACAGATCATTGGAAAATGCATAATGGGGGTGGTAAATGATGATGTCAGGGCAGCTGCAGGGAATCTGCACTGGCCACCAGACTGGAGGTAAAACTGCCATTCGCGCCATGAGAAAGATATTTGAGCAGCATGTTTGTGAGGCAGTACTCTTGGTTGACGCTTCCAATGCATTCAACATAATCAACCGCAAAGCTACACTGTGCAACATAAAGACCCAAGTGTTCAAGCTTTGCAATGTATGTTGAAAACACCTATAGGAACCCAACAGACCTCTATATAACAAGCTTCAAGGCCCTAAGAGGAGATACTGTACCACCATATAGTCAACCGCAGGAACAACACAGGGAGACCCTGTTGCCATGGCAATGTACGCACTAGGCCTATCCGTGCTCCAACACACAATAAAATTTGAAACAACCACAGTCAAGCAAGTGGCTTATGCTGACGCCCTTACAGGAGCAGGAAAAGTGGAGGATATAAAAAATTGGTGGGACCTGATAACATCATGTGGTCCACAAATAGGGTACCACCCAAATGTCAGAAAGTCATCCCTCATTGTGAAGCCAGAACACTATGAACGGGTAGTGGACATGTTCGGTGGAAGTGAGGTCAAAATAACAAAGGACAGCCAAAGACATCTAGGTGAAGTAATCAGCACGAAGGACTTCAAGACCGAGTACATATTGGGAAAGGTAAATGAATGGGTCAGGAAAATCTAAGCTCTGTCGGATATTGCTAACACAGAGCCACATGTGGCTTTTGCGGCATTCACCCATGGAGTCGAGCATCGCTGGAACTACCTAATGTGCACTATCCCTGATATCGGACCCCTCCTCCACCCTCTGGAAGAAGCCATCAGCGTCAATTTCATTCCAAAAATAGTGAAACACCTTCACTCAACCCCAGTAAAAAGGCCAATCCTTACACTACCACCGAGACTGGGAGGAATGGGATTGACCAATCCTGAAGAGCTTGCTGCCATCGAACATCAGAACTACCGTCAAGCTCACTGCAGCCCTCACCGATCACATAATAGCTCAAAACGCAACAGGTGAGGTAGATACCAGTGAAGTAAACAAGATTCGACGGTCCATTACGACAGAACGACAGCACTCCCAAAGTGATAAATTGCAGCAACTGCAAAAAAAGTCACTATAGCCCAGGAAGTGGGTGCCTTGAACTGGCTAACTACATTACCGATAGGGGCAAAAGGTTTCAGTCGTAATAAACAAAAATTTACAGAAGCCATTACTCTATGGTAAGGTAGGCCAGTAAAAGGTTTGCCCTCCCAATGCATATGTGGCTCTTCCTATGACAGACCACACCATGGTGTGCAAGAAAAGGGGCTTCGTGTGCATGACGCACGACAAAGTAAGGGATCTCACAGCAAATATGTTGAAGGAAATCTGTCATGATATCAGGGTAGAACCGACCCTCCTTCCACTGGACGGTAAATGGTAGTGGGACAGCGCGGCGTGGGTGTGGTGGAGTGCCCTCCCGGATCTAAAGTGTTATTGGAGGGGACATATTCAGAGTGTGGGAGTGGGAATTTCACAGTGTGTCGGTGAATATCGGATGTCACCCTAAGCATTGTCACCGAAGGTTCTTCTCATCCCTTACAGCATTAATAGCAAATATTCCATGTGTTCACTGGTGATCACCAAGTGAGTGTGTAAGTATTTGGTTGGTTGGCTACTGCAGGTGCCAGGGGCCAGTGTCGATAGGCCTACTTTGGCAGGGGTAGCATCGACTCTCTCGCCCCTATGGGGCCAAGTGCTCTACACTTGCTGTCGCCCCCCCCCCCTCCCAAGTAACGGTCACTTCATGTAGTGTCGGTCGACCAAGTGAGTATATATAACTACAGTTTTACCCCGCCTAACGCGGTTTCACTTAACGCGTT